CGAAACAGTTTGATGAGTTAGAGATTTCGTCACTGCAGGATACGCACCTGCGCTATTACTCGAAAAGCAAACACTCGTCTGTTTGGCACGCACAGATCTATGTAAATTAGGGGAGATTATTTTGCTGCTAGTCCTTGGCTGTTCTGTGATCAAATGCAATTGTTTCCCAATTCTTGAGAAACAGAATCTTTATCGGACTCAGATGGTTTTCACATTTTTTTTTTTACAATTTTAATGTTCTACGGTTATTAAAAATAACATGCCATATAAATTAAGCCTAGAAACACGGGTGCTTATCAAAGAAAGGATGTCATCGGAGGCTCCAACTAGGGGAGATATTTACTTGCAATGGTATACAAATCTGTCATGGAAGGATTTAATTAATATCTGCCCAATGATTCTCTCTCCTTAATGCCCCTATAACTGTCCTTTGGTCAAGAATAAAAAATGGACTGACCCCCACCCATCGCTATGAGAGTCCCCGATCCTCAGTTTTCATTGTTCAGCCAGTGGGCTTTTTGGGCAACACTGCAGGGCCCCTCTTGCTGGAAAACCTCTGAGCTTCCTGGTTTCCACTCCTGTATAAACCTCCCCCATCACCACCTTTGTCTCTTTAGGGGAAAAAAAAATCTCTTTCTCTTGAGTGAGATAAAAACTACCCAGTATTTGTTTCTGGAGTGTAATTATAAACTTCATTGTACATTCTTCCTGGCTTTGATGCTTATCTTGAAGAGTTCAGTGAAAATAAATTGTTTTTATGAAAGCAGAGAAACCATTTGATAAACATGCTGTCTGTGAAAATTGTTCCTGCAAAAGAGGTCATTCTTTCACTTTAAAAGAAATAGAATATATTTCAGAAAACAGGCAGGACAACAGTTAGGATTTCTGTGAATACAGGATAGTTTTTTTTTCTTTAAGGCAGGGTGTAAACACACTGAAAATTGCACACCTCCTGATTGTGTGGAATGTATTGGTTTTTAAAATAGCTTTATTGAAGAGATACTTAGGTCACAAGCAAATACTTGCTACATTTCATATTTCTCAGAATGAATTCTCAGCTCAGTCCTTTTTTTTTTTTTTTTTTTTGCTACTAAGGGTTTGGGGGTTACTGGTCTGTAATTACTACATATGTGTCAGAACCTATGCGTGTATCTATTCTTAGTAAGAGTCAAACTCAGCTGGGAAAATGATTCATTTTCTAGACTTCTCCTGCCTGGTAGCATAGAGAACAGTATGGCCAAAATTGGTTGTAGTAAGATGAGAAACAACCTCACGTACATAAAAATACATATTTATTATCATGTATGAAAAGCTTGCTTAATTTTTCCCCATTTGCTCAGGTTTCTGTAATTTTTTTGACCTAAGTAAAAATACTAAAATAGTTCACATTTCCAGATCAGAAAAGTTTGGATAAACTGAAAACTGAAACTAACAATGACAATGCTTGGGGGTTTTTTTCACGCTGTAATTCCTGTGTGGACCACTCTCCTGGTGATTAGTTTTCGAACCTGCGCTAGAGACGTGTAATGAGGGCCCCGAGGTCAGAGTGCTTCCTCTATACCATGCGTACATTCACTCTTGTGAGAGCTTGACAGGTCTTGACTCGATTTTATATGCATGTGATTTAGACTATGAATGTTAAGTGTTGATTCTTGACATGAAACTCTTAAATTTCATGGAGATGAGTGATACGGACACTGAGAATCTATGCTCCATAGAAATGCTATGCTTTATGACATGAAGCTAAATTCAGACATAAAACCAAGTGTAAGACATTTTACCAATATAATACATTAGCTGTTACTATGGGAATAGAGAAGAAACTTGAGTTGCTCTGGCCTTGTTAATTTCCATTTGGAGCTGCTGTTAATTTGGCTACATTACATATTGCAAACCAGGATCATAATATTTGGACAGAACTTTTCATGACCCAAACTCAAGAAAATTAAGCTGTATATCATGTTTAATACTATCCTCATCTCAATGGAGGAAGCAGAACACTGGTTAAATTACTGTTCACAGATCCCTAAAAGTGGGGGTCTCAGTAAGATCTTAGGTTATAAAACTCAGCAGGATTAATACAGTCCTCATGGGAACTTTTTTGCTTAATTTGGAACCAGATAAAGTAAAGAAAGTTTTCGAGTTCTGTCAAGATGTAAAAATAGTTTTCCTATTATGTAAAGTCTGTGTACTTTCCCCCTATTTTTTAGAGATTCTTGGATGATACCAACTACCCAAACATCAGGCTAATAAGACTGACATTTTTGACCTGAATCACATAAAAACCGTATGGGAATTTCTTTTGCCCAGAAGTTGTATTTTGGCTGCAGAACTGTTTCTTGGGCTGCCCTTCTAAATCAATGCCTGTTAGCACTCTGCAGCATAAATTCAAAGCATGTTTAAGATACGTTCTTGGAGAAGTTTCTTCAAATTCAAGGCTAACCTAGTACAAAGGAAGCCTTTGTCTGTGGCATTTCAGAAACAAAATGCTGACAGCCTGAAAAAGGTGACACCCTTACGATGACAAACAGCACGACAGTTACAATTGCATTAAATTTTTAAAAGCATCGTTCTGAAGTTTTTGATGGATGGGCTTCAAATTCACTGGAAACCTTAAAATTGGGTGGTATGCTGAATGCAGTCGCTAATCAGATCAGCTCTAAATGCACTAGCATGTAATTCTTGTTTTAATGCCCACGAAAGATCTAAAACAGCAGGGTGCTAAAGGCCCCCTTCCGCCCCCCTCAGGTAGTTTGTTCTTCTCCAAATCGGAGGAGTTTGGTTCACTCTTTCCAAATCTTACTTTAACCAGGTTCCCTGGGAAGGCTATTCCACTATGAAAACACCTGCCTTTCCTCCTCTCTCCTTTCTTTCCTTTCTTCCTTCTCACTTTCCTTTCTTAAATGAATGTTTATCTACTGCAAACCACCTAAGTACCAAGCATGGTCCAAGATTCTTGGGATAAGGCAGTGATCTAGCTGGGGCTCTGAGCAGGGTGTCTTGCCCTCCCTGGAGCTTTCTTTTACAACTACCGTGGATGCAAATTTGTTTATCAGATTGCTTCTCCCGATAGCAACAGTTAGCTGTGTCATTAGGTGATCTTCAGGGAACTGGCTGGGACGGGGCATGCGTACATATGTGCATGTGAATGTGTGTGTGTGTGTGTGTGTGCACGTGCAGGAGTGTGATGGGTCTGATTCTCCTCTGAAGGCTTGCATGTGTGTCATTTGGGGCTCCTCTTTGTCATTCACAAGTGCCTTAAACAGTGTCCGGCACAAAGTAGGCAGCAGAAAGTAGCTGCTAAGTGCCCAGGAGACCCACTGTGGGCAAAACTGCACGGTTGGTCAGCAGCCTTCCCAAATTACTGTTTCTGTTCTAGTAATTTTTTTCATCCTAAGTGCCTCAACATATGTATCTTCAAACTCATCAGGCAGTTTCCTCCCTCTCCTTAATAAAGATCTATACTCAGAACTTTTGCTTATATTACCCCCTATATCATCATCATCTTAATATATTGACTGCTGCATACTGTTGACTGTTTTAATCTTAATACATTGACTGTTTCCTTCCCCAAGAAGTCTGTATTGTAACAGGGAGGGAGATTTTAAGAGAAAGCCTTTTCTACAACAATGGCCAAGAGGGGTCTCTAGACCGGGCAGTCCTGACTCCTGGGAGCCTTCCTGGAAGAAGTTTCTCACTTCAGTTTCTAGTCCCCATAGCTCAACGCTCAGGGTAGCCCATCCGCCCACATGCAATTCCCTGTCTGGAAGCTAGTGGGGTTTCCACTGCAAAGATTTGTATTCCTGACCCTGGAGGTCTGATTACAACTTCAGGTTTAGTCTCTCTGTAACTTAGATTATACGTTTCATTTATCTTCTATAATCAAGCTCAGATTGCTCCAGATGCACACAGAATGAGCAGAAGGTGTGGGATATGTGTGCAAAGAAAAACTCCACTTCCCAGCTTTTGGGGGGCTCCTGTTAACTATTTGGAAAAAATACATAATTTCTCTTTTGGAACCTTGGATCAGCAGGCTGCTCCTCTCCTGTGGCCAGATGCTGCACTGTACGCCATTGTGAAATACTAATAGTGAAACTTAAAAGATGTACTCTTGCGAGACAACAGGTGGCCACTGCAACCTCCAGCTCTGATTGGTGGAAAGGCCACAGGCGCCCAGTGGCCCGGGGAAAGGGCCTCCACTTCTGCGTTTCAAGAACCTGCTCAATGGGGTGTTGTCCTGATAATATCTCAGCTCACTGCCAATTTGTGCAACCCGCTGCGCCATTAGGGAGCGCCGCTGGGTTGTCAACGTTAAATGGAGACTCGGGAGAGGAGACCAAAGCTTTTTCAGGAGGGGGGATTGGAGTCAACCCAGGGACAATGTAAGCAGTTGTTTCTTTCCTGAATACACACCGCTTTCTCATGCAGTCTCCAAACACCCGATTCTTGCTAAGAGAAGAGCAAATACACACACTGTCATCTAATTGAAGTTTATTTTTCCTGCTTGGTTCCAGAAAGATAATATTGGGCAAAGGTACATACACAAGGTGTCACCGAGCTGGAGTGCCTATTTTGGAGAACAGAAGAAATGAAGAGAAACTCGTGTGAGGGTTGTCTGAAAAACTTCAGGCCCTGGGCCAGCAAAGTGTAATCAGCTACGAAAGTGTGAGTGTCAGCTAAAATATTTGTAAATTTCTCCCTTCGTTAAAGTAGTTTCTAGATAACTGTGCTGGGGAGGGGGGCAAATCTCACAGCTTCTCTTTAACGTTCTCATCTGGTATAAAGTCCCTTCCCTTCGCCAAGGCTGAGGGCCAAACTCTAAAATGAACCCAAAGCAATAAAGCCCAGGGGCGGGGTTGGGGGGAGATGTAGCTTAAAGAAAGAGAAAGAAATCAAAATGGGGTGGGTGAGTGCAGTGTGAGGAAGTTAATCACCCAGAACCTTTTAGGAAAATAGGGACATTTTCTCGCAGAGAACAGTGAATGATCCGCCTAGATCCAGTTACTCAAATGCCTTTCGAATACAAACAAGAGCAAAGAAAATACGAAGAGAACCGACACGAGGCTTAACCCGGGGAGCTTCTGCCTACCTGTGAAAGGTCAGGCCCCCACACCCCTCCTGGAAAATACCACAGGTGTACATGGGGTCCCGTCGGGAGGCACTGGTGCAGGTTACCCGCTGGGTTAGGTGCCTCTAAGAAGGGAAAATTTGTGGAGTAAGGCGGAGTGGGATAGAGGGACCGGGGGACTCACGAGAAAGGACTGGGGACTAGGAGAAGAAACCGAGGGAACGAGGAGTGGGGAAGGAGCCGACGGCGCGTGGATGCTGGTGGCGGGAGCCGGGGGCCCAGGG